ATTTTAATTATTTTTATCTGCTTCTTAATGACATGACTTAAAAGTTAAATGTATTCTAATTTTTGATTTTCAAATGGTTACACATAATCATTCTTATTTGTAATAATTGATATTAAATAATTAATTTATTAATGAATTAAAATTTATAATTACAAAATTATTAAAATATTTAGAAATATGATGACTTATGTATTGATTTAATATTTAAAATATAATCTAGCTACTCAGTTATTTCAATGACTTTTTTTTTATCAGATGCTGGATATCATACTTGGTTGTGACTTAGTGTTCAAATTATTATATAAATTATATTAAATCGACATATGAACTGRTTTCATTTAATTATAAAGTTTGAAACTTACAATAAACACTGATGTAGAATTACTTTCAAATTGATCTGTTTCAGCGCTTAATTCAGCTAAATGCACAATGTTTGCAATCAATGATAAACACCAACTAGGATGTAAGCAATGAAATATTTCATCGCATTGTTTTTGATCATTTAATAATTGCATAACCTTCTCAAGTAAATTAACAGAATTAAATGTTTCAATCATCTAAAATATATTTTTAAATACAATTTTATGATCTTTTAAAACTATAGAATACCATTTATTTTAGTRTTAAAATAACAATTATTCAAAATACTCACTTTAGGCGAGAGAGATATCAAATGCTCTACTAATAAAGGTATAGAATAAATCTTAATCACAAATAATTGGAAAATATTTGTTGAAAAATTGCTCAAAACTAAACATCTCCAGCAAATAGTCATTATAGCTGTCATAGCCACAGGTTTTAATAAGATTTTAATACCTGATAAACCAGTAATCAGTAATGCCTAAAAAAAATTAGTTTGGTAATAAATTCATAAATTAAAATATATTTAATTTTTGAATACCTGCATGGTATTAAACACATTTTTATTCAATAAGTGTGCAATCAAGTTTTCTGTTAAACGTTCTAATCCAGGTTTTAACCCTTGCAAAGAAGTATTTGAATTAATTGCACACCATCTTGATGTCGATGTAAAAGATACAATCATGTGAAGTAAAGTGTGTAAAAAAGAAGAATCATCTAATGATTTTGGCTGAAGTTTAGTAAGGTAAGTTAGGCAAATAGACAGAATTTCTTTAACATGACTTATCCAGTTAACTGCATGCTCACTAGACAAAGCTACTGATATRTAGCTACGTTTGATTGCATCACATTCCAGACTAAGAATTATATATCTATAAATATAAAAAAAACTTATTAATTTACCTATAACTCCTTAATAATTACATACAATATTACAAGTAATTTGAAAGATATTAAAAATTTGTTAAGACGTAGGATTTATATTATAAATATAATTTATAGTGTGTATGCTGTAAAATTTAGAAAATAAATATGATAATGTGTATACACGAAATCAATAAAATTGAATGATTTATAACTCCATTAATTAATATAAGTTTTTAAGTTAAATATATATCGAACCTGCAGAGTTTTTCAAATCTATGTTTATCTCGCTTTTCATCCCAATAAATTAAAAATTTTTTCACAGATAAATAAACAGTAATAGCAGGTTTCAAATCATTGATGTTCTCAAATGTGTCATCAAATTGTTTCCTATAAATATTCCAAAAATCAAACAACTAATAAAAGTTTAATATCACATGTATAAATGAACAATAGCTAAAACTGACAGTATTAAGTTTTGAGTGCGTTTGCGAACAAGCCATCCTCTAACCAAAGATTGGATAAGGATAGCTGATTCCTCACGTTTACGATCATTTGCTCTTTCCACTCGTGCAGCTCTTGTTTGTTCAATAAACTGCGTTTTAGAATGCTCACCAAACATCATTCTGACGAAATAAAGGCACAAAATACATGATTTAGAATAATTATTTATGCAATTGACTTTGATAAATAACTTACTTAATTAGATATTTTTATGCTCATATTTTATTTCAAACCCTGTGATAAACAGTCAGAAATCAAAACAAACAAACCGCTTAAACTTTTATAACAAAAGTTGTCATAAGTACTAATCTTAATTAATTGTGCATATTGATTGAAAAAATTGGATTTGGAATATTGAAAATTGAAATTGTGATTTGTGAGTGACTTAGTGATAACACAGATCATGGACATCTTAAATATAAAAATAATTATTATCATTTTAATGATAAACAAAAACAAAAAATAACTATCTATAATCATTTTTTAAAGTAAAGTGTACCGGTTAAGTTGGTAACGGCATTTAGGTTATGTTAACGCTTATTATAATGTTATCAACTTTATATTTATAATAATATAATATCGAACGTTTTTAAAGAAAGTTCTACTTATTAGTTAGGTGTAATTTGTTACGATTTTATCCCAAAAAGAATTTAAAGTTTAAATTGTTAGTTAATTATTTTTTCACCAACGACGGCTCATCATGGAAACTTATGACGTTATTGTTAATCAGCCTGTTGTCATAGACAATGTAAGTCCTCGTCATCATTATATTATTATTTATGCAAAATATTTTATACAACTATGAAGCATGAATATTTTATTMATCATCTTTCGTCTACTTATTTTTCGAATAAGAGGAAATGTATAATACTCTTGTGGCTTCATTTGTGAAGTTCTTTAGAAAACTTCAGCTTCGATTATTTTGTATGACTTATTAGTGATTATTGAATATATAACCTAACCAGATATTATTTTAACTAGTATTTCTGTTGAAAATTATTTTATACTAAATTGGTATTTCTATATTTGTGTAAATCGTTTTGTAATTATGTGATATTATTTTAATACTCATAAATTAGTTTTAGGCTTGGTGACATTAACAGATATACAAGATACATCATCAATCATACTTATTTAATTGTATTTTATTCAATACCTAATTAATTTAAATTCTAATTTTTGAAATTATTAAAAATATTATGTAATGTCTGATCTGGGTAGTATTCATTATAGATGGATCATTTTTATAAATTATGAATATTGATKGATTAACATAACTGATTTGTATCTTTCAAATCCATTATCATGTACCTATTATCCATGGTACACAGAGTTAAATGACCCAAAAGCTATTCGTTTGAATATTGATTTTGATTTTATTCATATTTTCTGAAAAATTGTCCACTTAATAATTTATAGTAGAAAAGTGATATTGTCAGAAGTTTTGATCTTCACAGGACACTTTTTAAGTATTTTGTAAATATGTACA